ACAAATTATCGTGTATTAACGCTCTTAATGCCCGTTTTTTATTCTATTTTTTTATTTGTTAATATGTCAAGAGCCAATTTGAATTAGTTTTAACTTTTTTTAAGTTGAAAATTTTTCTATTTTTCTTAATGCTAATATATTTTTTATATGATTATATAAACAACTTACATGTGGATATAAAATTAAATTTGCCTAATAATCTATGTTTGTAAGGGTTATTTAAAGTAACCTCATTTTAAGAAAAATTAGGACATTCTGATTTCAAAAATAATTTTTTTTTAAATATTAAAAATCAACTTTTTTTTAAACTTAAGTTAATTTAATCTTAACTTTTATTAAGTTAATTCTTTATTCCTTTATTCCTTTCGACTTAATCTTATTAATTTTATAAGTCATTAACTTCAACTTAATTTAGTTTTTAAAAAACATTAACTTATCCCTAACCCTGTTAAAATCTAGTTTAAGTATTATATTTTTGCATCAAATCAAACATATATTATAGAAAATCGAAACTTTAATTTAAGAATCATTCCCTAGCGATCTCTAAATCTTAATATTTTTTGATAAAAATTTAGGGGTATTCTTTTGACATGAAATGGAAGCTTTTGAACTGAGAGGCTGATTAAAAAAAAATTGTTTTCTTTTTTTCTTTTTTCAGTCTAATGTGAAAGAGATGTTAGATCGAGTAACGACGTTTCCCATGATTGAAAAAAAAAACATCTTTCCGTCGAATATGGCCAACCCTGTATATATATTAATAAGAAATCGGATTTTCAAAACATTAAAAAGATCTAGTTTATTTAAAAATAAAAAATTTATTCTATCAAAATTAATGTACTAAAAAATGTATTCAAAAATATTGGGTCATCTAAAAAATATCCGCGGTTTTTTGTCACTAGATAGTGTTGATGGTTAACACATCTAGTGACAAAAAACCGCGGATACTTTTTAGATGACCCAATATATTGTATAATACAAATAGATGAAATTATTTTTCATATTTAGATATCTCAACAAGAAAAAAAAAGAAAGTGACACTTTTGATATTACATATGCCTTTTTAATATTAAGAAACGTTGGCATTAGCAATGGATAAAAACACAGCGATAACTAGCAAACTTTCTTTGAAAATAATATCCGTGAAAGTCTAAAAAGCGTTATGCCTTTCTAATAAGCAATTTGAATAAATAACTATTGTGAATAATAACTACTGTGAATATAACTACTAACTTTATATTTGTCTGTTTTCTATTGTAGATATTAAAATCAATAAAATGAAGAAGCTCTTGGAAATTCTATCAAATCCCAATATGCCGTTGGATACGTTGCTAAAATGTGAAGTTGTCTTGGCAAAATTAGATTTTAAGAGAGAAGACGGTAGTGTGGGACCGCCAGCAACAACATTGAAGAAGCACCAAATTTTCAGTCCACTATTAGGAGCCGTAAGCGCACATTTCCAAAGTCCGGTAATCAATCATACATCATTGCAACGCATTTTTGGACCAGAGATAAAGTAAGAATGCATACATATATAAAAATCGTTTACATTTTTTTATTTTGTGTAATAAATTTATAAACAAAAATTGAAATATATTCTATGATCTGTATAAAAATAGAAATTTGTCATCACCTTTGAAGAAGCAAAAAATAGAGGAATCATCTAGCGAAATACCAGACGTATTACAAGGAGAAATAGCTAGATTGGACCAACAATTTAAAGTATGTAATATCAGTTTCTAAGCTTATTTACAATTTATTTTGTGTAAAACTTTCAAAGTAAATATAAATTTTTGATAAAATTTATGCTTATTTACTTTGAAAGTTTTAACACTAGCGTTAAAATTTTTTACCTATAAAAATGTTTTAATTTTATAATTCGAAAATTTTGTTAAAATTTTTTATGTGTAAAATAATATACCAAATTACGCATTTTGTATCTGGTTTATAATTAAAATAATAATATATACATAAATATAATTAATTATAATAAAATGCTTGAAATACAACTTAATTCATATACAACTTACGTACACAGCTTATTTAAAATATAATTATTAACACATTTGTAAAAATATAATATAATGTTAATGCTTTTAAGTGAAATAAACATCATGCGCATGTAAAATTGCAGAGATGAATATTTCTGATGCATAATTTATAAATGTAGCACGATTATATGAATCAAGCGATTTATCATTTGGAGTTAAGAAGTGAACGTATTACCCTTAGAAAAGTGGATCGTATTACCGTCAGAGCTATGTAGTTTATATTCACATTATCAGGGATAGTAGTGTACGGTAGCATTTTGCGATTACAGATTTTCGGCCGACATGTCCTCTCTCAAGTTTTTCTCGAGTGGATATATCCTCAAGCATCAATTGTGATCACATGATCTGTTTTTAGCAAGTAGTAAGGGAGCGTTTATATTGGCCGTAACCGTATGTCGTAATCTTTAATGCATGGTCTACATTAGTTGATTATTTTTCTCACATTCAATTATAATTGATCGATTTCTACGCCTACTTCTTACCACTACTACTACTGCCCATGGTAGACCATGCATAACAGTTGATTAAATACAGTCAAGTATTCCCCTTTCATTCGGCATTAAGAAGGAAATACTTGAAGATGATTAGTCAATTTGGGCTGTCGCACACAAAATTCCGCAACTGTAAAGATGAAATCACAGTTCGGAAAACGACTGCGGAATAGAGAATGCGTAGAAGCAACCAATCAGCATTATTCTGCGTTATTCCGAATAGCGCTAATTGTTGTTTCAATGATGCATTCTCTGTTCCGCAGCTCTTTTCCGCACCGTGTAATTTCACACTAAGGCGTAAATTTAAGCTTCCCGATGGGTCAATCAGGATATTGCTTTAGGTTTATGTAGTCTAACGGAAATAGAAATAAGAGTAAATTTATTCATAATCTCGCAATAACATGAATTTCAACCTGTTGAAACTAAAGACTAAAGAGAAACAGGAGAGACTGTATCAGGGTTACTGTAATGGGGTAGCTAAATCCGCGGACGGATGTATAGCAGCCATTTTAAGCGTCCACTTTTTTTGACGTTTGTCCGACAGTTTTATAATAGGAAAAAGATCTTGAGCAACAAATCAGTTCATTATTAATAAATATTGTAAAGAGTACCATAGTGCATTGCCGGGCGTGTAGTGTAACAACTTCAGCTCAAAATTATGGGATAACTTTTCATCTGTTAGTCAATAATAATGAGAATTTTATATTTTAGAAGTTATACTCTATCGTATGTGTATTAATGTATACTCAAAGAGTAAAGAGAAACAGAAGGGAATATGTTAATAATGGAGGCAGTTAAATCCGAGGACAAATATCATAGCAGCCATCTTAAACGTTCACTTTTTATGTTAATATATATATAGTCACTTCCGTCCTCTTGCTTAGAACCTAACATTCCCTCCTGTTTTTCTTAGTAAAGTACTCTTTGGTTGAAACTCGTATTACGGATAAGTTTACTGCTATTTCTATTTCCGTTAGAATACATAGATCTAAGGGTTGCCGCACACAAAATTCCGTAACAATATGCGTAAGGGGGGATCTATTCTGTCTTCTTCTTTTTTATTGGCTCCGCAACCAGGCAGGTTGGAACTGAGCCATTGAGTATCCGCCTTATGCTGATATGCTTCAGATTGCATGTAAATCGGTTGTGTTAGACTCTAAGAAGGGGAAGCCGTCCCCTCAAACCTGTTGCCATCCGATGGTGGTCGCGCGTCATGAGGGATTATCAAAAGTATAGATCGGAGGCCTTCGTAACGGCCATAAGAAGCAGAGTTTAGGAAAAGGATGGGACATGGCGGGAAGATGTCATCAGGAGATTCGGGAAATTTAGATCTACAATAATTACGAAAGGGAGATGACTTTTGACTGTAGATTGCACTGGAAAATGACATGATTGGCGTCCTGTACCTCTGCTCCGCAGGGGCATGCTGAAGAGTCCACAATATTCACTCTATGAAGGCTGCTGTTGAGATTATAGTGGTTGGATCTAAGACGGTTAACCATGAAGATCTCCACTCTGTTTAGAGAGGTTTTATTGAACCAGGTTTTATTGGAGTTCATAGGGAAGCGCTCATGATGAAATGTGCTTTTATACGCTGCCGTTGAATTTAAATATGTCCTAAATCGCGCATCCAAGATTTCTTTGAATTCAATGAACATATCTGGAATTCTAAAGATCGGGGCGCGTCCCTCTATGGAAGCATGTTTAGCGATCTCGTCCGCTTTCTCGTTTCCTGGAATACCCGAATGAGATGGAACCCAAAAAAGTGTGATTTCAATTCCCTTCTTTGAGGCATCCAAAATATTCTGTCTAACATCGTAAATAATAAAGTTATTCTGGATATTGTAATCTATTGTAATTTATTGCGTCAAGACCACTTTTGGAATTGGAAAATATGATAATATTTTTATTTCCGCAGTCTCTGTCCAATTCTGTTGAAAATTAATATCTCTAAGCATTCTTCGAGCGATATTCATAGTCCGTTCTTATTTTAAGATTACCGTAAGTAATGTCTTATGTAATGTCGTAAGTAAGTAATGTCTTATGTAATGTCGTAAGTAAATGTCATAAATAATGTCTTAAGTAATATCTTAAGAGGCCCCTTCAAAGGCCTCTTCATCCTCTTCATCCAGTAATAAAAAATTGCTACCATGTATATTACCATTTGATAGGTGCGCAACTAAGTTCTCGCTGTTATTTTGATGAAAATGCAACTTTATTGTGAAAAAATGGCTTGGAAATGGCTTGGCGGGTATCTCCTAATACTGAAGCAAGCTCTTCTTGCGTTTGGCACGGATCCTCATCGAGCAATGCCTCCAATTCAGCGTCTTCGAAGGTTTTTGGCCTTCCCTCACGCGGACGATCGTCAACATCGAAATCACCGTTTGAAGCGACGGAACTAATCTCGGCACGTTTTTTCACTTAGAGCAGCATCTCCGTAAATTTTTTGGAGCTCTCTATGCGCTTCAGCCGCCGTTTTCTTCGAATGAAAGAAGAAAATCAATACTTCCCGCATATGACGATTATTTGGTACAAAATCAGACATTTTCACACAACCAAAAGAATATGACGTAAAAACAAAATCACTAATGTTTCAAAGCGGTTTGTTTACCATATGTCTATGCTTGGTTCATGACGTTTAGGTTATGTCAGAATCGACCAGCACTTACTGCTGGAGCCATCTGTTGACAAACAGCTGGAACATAGTTGCGCACCTAATATTTTTGTTTTTGGACTGTGCAAAATTATATTTAGACTCTCTCCGTCTCTGTCTCTCTTTCGCTTTAAAACGAGACAGAGAGAGTTTTAAGTCTTGCTTAAAATCAAAGTAATGTTGGTACAACCGGGTCTTAACCTTCAAATTGTAAATTGAATCGGTTCAGTCGGCTGTGGTTCTTCTGCCGCTTTATTTCTCAGTCTTTCTTTCTCGGATCTCACTTTTCGACAAAAAATTTCTTGCAGATCTGTTGTTCCGATTTTTTGTTTTCAATTTGACGAGAAATTTTATTTTATTATATTACGTAAAATGGAAGAAAGTCGTAACTATAAATTGTAATGCGTCGTTTACATGAAGTAAGAAGTAAGAGTAAGAAATTGACGAATCACAGTCGAATGTGAGAAGAATAATCGATTGTGATTGGTCAATTTCTTATTCTTACAGCCTCATCTAATACTGATACTGACATTGTACACCACGCATTAAAGTACGTAGATCTAAAGCAATATTCTGATTGGCTCATCGGCTTAAGTCCATGCCTAAAGTTATTGTTACAGAAATTTTACGGTCCTAAAAGTATCCTAAAGCTCATCAGTTCACGTCTTAAGATTACTATTAAAGCCGCAGCAAAGACTTCTGCACAATGCATAATGCATAGTGCATAAGCGAATCAACTAATCAGAATCTTTCCTTTCTTTCCATTCCATAGATAAAAGAATTTCGATTGGTTGATTCCCTTATGCACTATGCATTATGCTTTATGCAAGAGTCTGTGCTGCGACGATTACAGAAATTTTGTCTGCGGCGATCCTTTTTACCTATTATGGCATACCGCATACGAATACGACCAATATAAACGCTCCCTAAGTTTACGATGCTCGATGCTCGACGGTTGACGCTCTGATGCACCTTACAATCATAACATTTTTTGATACTATGGTTTGGAACAGAGAGAAACCTTATCCACACAAGTATATTATCATTATTATTGAATGTTTTTGATATTGTTTTTTTCCGGTTTTATTTATTTGTAAGTAATTGATACAATCATCATGGCCACAGACGATTCTTGGAAAACGTCACATTTTCGTCAGAGTGTAGTCGCGATAATGTAAGTCAATTATGTTGGTTAAGTTCATAAAGCAAAAACATTGTTTTATATCAATATTGGTATTAAAAGTTTAATTTTCATTTAAAAAGTAATTTTACCTAAGGTTATTGAATAAATTTATCTTTTACAATGATGTATTGTTATTTACACACATATATATATTTTTTTTTACATGAAACTTATTAATTTTATATATATATATGTGCGAGTCAATAGATTCATTTTAAATCAATTTGCTCTTTTCATTTTTCTTTTTTTAATATTTATATTTTTTTATTTACTTTCTTTTTAATTTTTCTAAAATTATTTT